GCTTCATGATTTGTTTATTGTACATCTTTTCCAGTAAAGTATAAGCTCTATGAGGTCAACAATGCCTCCTGTGGGGGAGGCCCTATAAATACTTTCACATGGTTTTAGCCTGGTTGTTGTTCATGCTCCACAGAAAAATAGCTCTCACAACTTCCTTCTAATGGCTATGCAGTGACCCCAGGTGAGATCCCAGGTGAAATTCTTTTCATGTCGTAGTGCAAGGTACTTTAAATATATAGAATTTAATATATAACATTTTTCCCCTTCTCTTGCCTAACTATTTGCTGATCCATAGTTGCATCACAACTTGGTTTCTTAGCGCATATGATTTCTCCATTGCCTTTTTGAATCTTTCATGGCTTTTCTCCCACCACCACCCCCTGCTTCATTGTTAATTGACACTTAAGTTTAAAGTGTACAATGGGCTGATTCATGCACTTACATATCACAAAATGATTACCAGTATAGTATTAGCTAATCACTCCATCATATCACACAATTACATTTTTTGTGATGAGAATATTAAGATTTACTATCTTAGCAATCTTCAAGTGTAGTTAATAATATGATATTATTAACTATAATCACCAGGTTGTACATAGTATGCCCAGAAATTATTCATCTTTTAACAGGAAATATGCACCCTTTGATCAACATCTTCCCATGCCCCCAGGCATTAGCCCCTTGTTATTCTAGTCTCAGCTTCTATGAGTTTGACCCTTCCCCTTCTGGACTCTACATATAAGTACTATCAGATATGGTACTTATCTTTCTCTCTCTGACTTATTTAGCATAATGCCCTCAAGATACATCCATGCTTTGATCATATCCCCAGCAAATGATGGAATCTTAAATCCATATTTATGGAAAATTGGATATTCTCTACCACCCCTGCCCTACTGTCCTGATAGTTCATATTTTATATTAGCATGTTCAAAATTATGAGATTGGAGGAAAGAAATATGTATTCCAATGCAATTGACCAAGAAACTTTTCCCTCCATAATGCTGATTAATATTTCATTTTAGGGAACATTGGTCTAGATTATCTGCAAGATCTCTTCCAACTGATTGACTTGATAGCACCTTATTTCAAGGGAAAATGATTTGAACTATTTAGTGTCATATGAATTCCTCTTCAAAGTCAAAGACCTCCAAAATTAATAAAACATATGTTGAGCTCAAACTATTCTAATAACAAAATTGTTATCAGGGAAGACTGCAATTGTAGGAGACAAGATCATCCCCAACTAGAAATTTTCATTGCATCTGTTTCCATCCTCTGAACTGAGCCTGTGGGTGTTGGGTTCACATTGTTTACCTCCCTATTATTGTACAGCTATTAAGCACAGCCATCATGGCAGTGGGACCAGATCCTCAATATTGAATCCTTCTGGAGTCAATACCTAGCTTTGTTTACTGTATGATAATTAAGCATTCAGAGCATGAGTCTATCAAAGAGTTTACTATGGAATTTTTGAGAGCAAGTTTAATAAGAAACATTAAGTACTTTTGAAATCCTACTAAATATTATAAAAATTAAATGTCCTTATTTTACTGCACCAGTCTCCCAATCACTATTAAGACTATTAAATTTAGTAGAAAAAAAAAAGATGGAATCTTTAATGGTAATCAGCTATCATGAAAATAAAAAAAAATGTATCAAATGCTTATATGATTTAAAATAAATTTTTCCCTTCACATTGATTTTAATGAAACATATCTAGGTCTTAGTCAGACACTGGATAAGTATATTATTGTGCTAAAACTAGTAACAGATGTGTTAGGATACTATGCTTTGCTTTATTTTGGAAAAATCGCTTAGAATAGAATATATTGAACATCATGTCTTTTGAGTGCCAGTTCTGTGTTGCATCCATTATCTCATGAAATAACAGTAGCTTGAGGATTCATAAGTCTGTGAATTCATAAATCTGTGAAACTTATGAAACTCAAAAACACCTCTGAAACCCCTGAATCTCGAAAAAAGTTGCTAAATATCATTTGCCCCTTCTGGAGTCAGTTTATGTTCCAGAATCCTTAATTGCATTAATGTAGTTTCTTGAGTTCTAAAAATTTTCCTAATTTTCCTAATTGGAAATTCCTTTGTTTTTGCAAATTCACAGACTTACCAAAATGTATTTGTAACTCTCCAGTCAATGCTTGTGATGCATTCATGGTCAGTAATGTTCATGTTCAGAGCAGTAAAAGTCTGAGTAGCCCAATGCCTGCGGACTCAACTGAGATGGACAAGTGATGTTTCAGCCCTCATGCTATACACACATGTCCTTTCTGCAATATATTTAGTGCCAACTTTTTTCTATGTTTTGTTTGGTGGATTCACTGCTTGAGGAGGCCTTAGATAGAGTGCTGAAGTGATGTCTAGTGTCCCTAAGCACAAAAGACTGTGATGTGCCTTATGGAGAAAATGTGTGAGTTAATAAAGCTTCACTCAGGGATGAGTTACAATGTCATTTGGCTGTGAGCTCAAAGTTAATGAATCAACCTCATACATTAAATAAGATGTCTTTAAATGGAAACACACCAAAAACAAGGTTATATATATCGATCGCTTGATTAAAAATGTGACCAGAGGCTTATAGGAACATAATACTCTGTTTTCTCTAGAAACAATTCATAGTATTAATTACCTATTTCAGTGTTTGCAGTGACTTTAGATAACACAACTGCTGCAAACCAATGAGAATTAACTGTATCTAAAGACACCATTAAATGTCAGATATTCTGATTATTCAACCTTGGAATTGAGATTGGAAAATTAATAAAAGACCTGAAATGCCAAGTTTTAAACTGAGGGGAACTTTTATGAGGAAATCTTAAAGACTAGGAACCAAAGAATTAGAATGGGAATCTCCATGAACCCTAACTCTCAGAGGCAGAATCCAGAGTCATTGTTTCCTGACTTAAACCAGGATGTTTTCTTGGGTGGAAACAAAGTATAAATTTGAAGAGCTTCAGTCTACAAGATTTTAAAAAATGTTCATAAGGTATGCTATGGATAACCCAAACCAAGTTTTTAGACATGGTGAATTATTAAATTTAAGTCATGCTACTGAAAATCCATGAAAGCTCTAACTCGCTCCATCATAAGCCTCATATAAAAGGTTAATTTATTCCAATCAACTAATTTATTAAGCACAGAAAGGGCATATTAAGATACTACAGTAAAATGACTTTTTCAATCGTAAGTAAAACTCTAATACAGAAAGTTCTGACCTTTCATTATTTGTAGTAACTGTAAAAATTACTTCAAGGAAACCTATTTCTTTCATTTATGATGAAGATCTTTTAACATAAAGTGTTATTTAAAGACTTTTTATGAGTTTCTTCCTCTGATATTCAAGTTAGAGCAGAACTTTTTTTCATAGTACTGAATCAGTAACCAGCAATAATTCTTAGATAACTTGTCAAAAGCTAGTGTTTCGATTTTAAGGCAAACATTGGGTTGTTATATTCATTTGTGAGAAAAAGTTAATTTAGTTTTCACATTTAGTGCTATTTGTAAAAAGCTTGTGTTTTGGAAGTCCACATCAGAAGTATCCCAAATGGTATGGTAAATTATTAATTTTAGCAACATTTTATTTAAAGTTTTATTTAGAGTAATGTTGTTATAAGTACTCAATCTATGTCAGTCACTGAGATGGTTGCTTTTTAAGTATTTTCTCTAACTCTGAAAGTAGCTGTATACAATGAACATTATTATCTCCAATTTACAGATAGAGGCACTAGGTGGAAAAAGACCTAAGTGTTTTCCTCAGGAGGCAGAGAAAGCTAATACAGGTTGTTAAAGAAACACATTCAGGTTTGGTCGAGGGACTATCCAAATTCATAGCCTGCTGCTACTTCTAAATTATAAATAAAATTATAGGTTATTATTTACTTTTTAAAAACATGCCACTGATAATGACATGCATGATGTAGAACAGAGGATTTCTTCTAATTGATTGATTACTAAGGGTTTAAAGAAAGCAATTTAAAGGATCATTAGCATTCTTGCTGATTTACATAAATAAATTATCAAAAATGTATTATTGCTCTGTTATTTTTACCTAAATATTGTGTGCCACGGGCACTGTTGCAACACAGGAAAACATTCATATCAGGATTTTATGACACTTTTTCAAACCCAGTGGCTGCCTTTAAGTGGGATTCATATAACCTCAACAGATTAAAGATTATATGTGCTTTATAGGTAGCTTCTTAAAAGCAGTTGAAGTAAATTGTGAGTGATTGGTGTCAAATAGTTTGTCTTTCACAGGATCAAATAAATGATATTTTCTCATAAACCCTAGTCTTCTCTCATCCTTATCGACTGGAATCCTTATTGTGCAAAATAGCTTCCTTAATCCCCTCCCCATGTCCTACTCAGAAATGCTGCTTTACTCCTTTTTAAAATTTCCTATAATTCACATACCATAAATCCTCCCCTTTAGAGTCCACAACACAGTGGTTTTTAGTATATTCACAAAGCTGTGGTGTCATCACCACTCATTGCAGAACATTTCAACCCCCCTAACCCCAAATTCCTTAACAATCCTGCTCAATAAACCCTCTCCCCATGCATTGGCAAACACTAAACTACTTTCCATCTCAATAGATTTCCCTGAATCATGTCTTTGTGTCTGGCTTCCTTTCCTTAGTATAATGTTTTCAATATGCACATATTGTAGTGTGTATCCCTACTTATTCTTTTTGTGACCAGCTAACAATCCATGGTGTGGATGCGCCACATTTTATCAATATTTGTCAGTCAATGGGTATTTGGGTTGACTATTCTAAATAATGCTGCTGTGAACATTCCTGTATAATGTTCTGTGGGTACAGATGTCTCATTTATCTTGGGTAGATCATTCATCATTGCTTTTTCCCTGCTTCAGGAGTGCTCAGAACAACGGGAACTTGTCCTGTCCTAACAGATCTCAGTAAGCACTGAGCTGCCACATCTCCCTAACCCTGATATCCATTTGCCTATCTTTTCAGAACCACCCATTGGCCAGATGCACCCCCCACATGGCAGCGTAACCCCTCAGAAGAACGGCAGCCTGCTTGTGATTATCGTGGTGACCATTGGCATAATCACAGTGCTGGTGGTGGTGGTCGTGGCTGTGATTTGCACCCGGCGCTCTTCAGCCCAGCAGAGAAAGTAGGTAACAGCTGAATCCGAAGGGGAGACTCATCTCTGCCTGACTCCACTCTCATCTTCCTTAGTTATATTTTTGATGGTTTTCTTCTTGGGCTTTTTCATAATGTACATGTTTAGTATCTTCCAAGCTGGGCAAAAGCTTACCTTTTGCTCATTCTAGGCCCAAAACATAAGTGAGTGAGACCTGGGCATGCAGATATAGTAGTAGAATCCATCTGAAGAACCACGTAGCATTTCTGCTTGATTTTCTTTTTCTTTCTTTTTTTAATTTATTTATACAAGCACTGGGTACAGTCAGAAGCATGGGAGGATGAGAGAATTCACCAGAGCGGGGAGCAGAATAGGCAGACTGATGAAATACACTGCTGAGGGGAGCAGCGGGTGCAGCAGGAGAGGTCTGCGTGCCATGTGGGACCCTTGCCTGTTGCTGGGGATTGAACCTGTGCTGCAGAGGCTGTGGGCAGATTTGCAGCCCAGCTCTCAACCGCTGCGCCACTCAGGAGGCCCTGATTTTATTTTTCTAGGTTAGTTTCTTCCTGACCTAATGTGTCCTAAGAGAAGGACTTCATGTATCCCTGTATATGAACCTCTCTGAAATTATGCTTATGGTGATGTGTGTTCTCCTAAAAGTATTGATCATTTTTGAGTGGAGGCCTATAGGCATTTCATCAGTGCTCATTGTATGAATGATTAAATAAATTGTGGAATATGAAACTCAGTCATAGTACTATGAAGTGTTTAATTTGTAGACAACTATTACAATAGAAGAGAAATTCCAGAAATGCAAAATGGAGTGGATTTCCTGGCTATGGCAGATTCTCAGAAATGAAAAAATGTGAAGGTTTAAAAATATATTCATTTAGACAGATTTTGGCTCTAGCACATGCAGAGAATGATACATCAGCGTACACAGGTAGTTCCATTCAGCTTATCTCCTTCCAGCAATAGCCCATAACCAGCATATTAACCTAGTGTCAGCCAGTTGTGGAAGCTACAGTGTCTCCTGGTTATCTTCTGCCTCTTTGTTTCTCCAGCACTTTTCAAATCCGCTTGAAAGGTTTTCAGCTGTACTCTCTCCTTGGATTGGCTGCAGAAAAATCTTACCTTTTTTTTTTTCTGTTGTTGTTGTTATTTTTTTTTTTTTTTATTTTTTTGAGCCTCAGGCATGGTACAACTATATAAATCCAAGGCATTCATCCATTGATGGTTCATTTGACAACTATGTATTGCACGTACTCCTAGAGAAAGATTCTCCATCAAGTAATTTTCCCTCTGCCCTTGCTAACAGCTTAACCTCTCTCTTTTTACAAATCCTATGACCAAATTTGTTGATCTCTAATGTATCTCTTAGCATTTTGTAGTGGCACAAGACAAAGAAAGATGGACACACTGAAGAAAGTGACTTGGAGGGTTCTAGATGCAGTCTATATTTAATTTATTTCTGTAGCAGATTAAGTTTCATATCAGTTGCATTCAGGAGACTGAATTATCTTGAAGTTGGTGAGATCTGCCTTGCCAGTCTCTTGTGTCCAAACAAGAGAGCAGATAGAATGAACTTCTCTTGTAAGCATTCTGGAAAATTGTAGCCACCCTCAAGTTTCTGGAGTGCTGGGCATTAACTGGCACTAAGGGGGAAATGACTCTAGTAGAGTAAGGCATTGAACAATCCCTATGCCCAGCATCCACAGGAAAGAGTTTGTACAAGCTGGGAATGTGAAACCATCAGAAGAGCAGGTCTATAGAACACAGCTGTGAAAGACTCACTTCCAGGAATTAGGGAGGGCACCAACCCAAACATGGCTTATTTGTGATAGTTTTAAAAACATAAATACATTTATTCACTAAACTAAATTAACTATCTGTAGCACAGAGTGCTTTTTGTTTCTGTTTCCGTTTTGCCATTTTCAGCCTTGTGAGAAGAATGTCTCAGGGTGATAGAGATCTGATGAAAAGGATTCCTATATGCATTTTATTTCTCCACAGAGAAAATGCCAGTCTCCTCAATGTGCGAAAGTGGAGTCTGGTGCTTTTAGAAAAATTCATATTATCTTAAATCTTACCTTAAAGCAATTTGGTAAGAGCTTGAAAGTTTTATTTAGAAAGAGTAGCTACTGAGCCTTAGGTATGACATGGTTTTAAGATTAGAAAATGAGTGAAAGGATAAATCATCCCATGAATGACTGAAAACCCAGCGAAAGTGAATTTATAGCCCCTTTGCTGCCACCACTTTGGTTTTTCCTTACTTCCTCCCTAAAGTCTCTTAACATTTACTTGGTATACTTTCCAGTTTTGCTTCATATATCTTTCTTCAGAAACAGATCCATTGGCATGCATCTTGGTCTTTTTTTTTTTGGTTGTGCTAAAAAGGAAAAAGAAAATTTGCTTTTTCAAGATATCTGAATTTTAAGTTAGCTCTTTTGATGTCACTGAGGATCCCTCACCTCATATCACCACCAGTGAGCCTTTTAGAACAAATTGAGTAATACAAATGAAAGCAAAATCAATTCCAATCTGAAACAAATAATATCCCCAATAGGGCTCTTAGAAAAATGGGAGCTTAATGTAATTAACAAGGTGATGAAAGAAGCACATTCCTGAACATCCTTAATATTTATTTATTGATGAATATTGGAGAATGTAAAATTTATTGTATTTTATTGGGGGATTTGAATTGCATCCAAATGGATTTAAAACATTTTTGTATGTTGTTAATACCTTATGCAAGTTAGTGTCTGTGGGTTTTATTCTATGCATTAAATAGATAGATGATTTTATTTATTTTTTGCTTAACTATTGAGGTAACACTGGTTTTACAAACCTGTATGATTTAGGATTATAGGTTCACCTATTCAGATATGTTATTATTCCACACCTACCACTTAAGCACCAATTTTTATGATGTATAATAACTAATAAAAGTTAGAGCTCAAGTTGTAGTTCTGATTCTACCCCCTTCTTTAATTGAATTACTTATATTTATTTAATTAACTTTAAGGGAGGACCTAGTCTCTGAATGTCAGTTTCCTCAAATAAGAAGTAGGACTAAGTACTTTCTATCATTCTATCTATAAAACACACCGAAATTCCCCATGGAATGCAAATTAATATGACATAAATATTTTCTAATTCATTTTAGTTGTATATTTTTAATTTTATATTTTTCATTAAATTGACAAGACTAACACTTTCTGAGAGATTTAGTAACACAGTGAAATTTAGTAGAATAATACAGAAAAATTGTGTTATGAAAGCTTAAATTGATGGAGGTTTTTTTTTTATGTGTTTAGTTATGAAGTCATAAAATTTTTTCTGACTAAAATATAGAACATTTATGATGGCAGTATAGATACTAAAGACAAACTACTTGACATTAGGAATAGCCTGGAAATCCAGGACACATGGTTGTCACATCTCTAAGGCAGTTACCTGAGGAAATGATTAACAGCTTGCCTGAATACATTAAATTTGAGTATGTCCATAAAATTTAGGTTTCACTTGATAAAATCACCAGTTGACTAAGTCTCCTATTTGATCTGACATGTACACAGCAAATGTTTACTATCAGCCCATATTCTAATCTTGACAAAAATAATCATTTTCAGTATTGAGGATCAAATGTTTCCACTCATAAATCTATGGTAAATCACTTTCAATGATTTTTTAATTTTTTTAACATTTTAATTATTTTTCAGTATTTTCCACATAGGAATTTTAACTGCCAACCTTGTAGGACTTCAATTTATGTTAATTCCACCTCAAAATTATACATATTTATTTGAATATCTGAAACATATTTTACCTGGATTTCCAGTGCAAGTTTTTTGGCTTTTTAATAGTTAAGCGGTAGGACTATGAAGCAGTGTTCAGCTACTGCAGCACAAGTTCAATCCCCAACTAGGGAAGTGACCCACATGGCTCAGCAGGCCTCTCCTGTCTCACCTGCTGCTCCCCTCAGCAGTGCATTTCAGTCAGTTTACCAGTTCTGCTCCCCACTCTGTCTCTGCTGAATCCTCTCACCCCCTGCACTTCTGGCCTGTACTCCAGTTCTTGTATGCATAAATAAATCTTTAAAAAGGGGCCTCCCCGGTGGTACAGCGGTTGAGCGCTGGGCTGCAAAGCTGCCTACAGCCTCTGCAGCGCCAGCTTGATCCCCAGCCACCAGCTAAGAGTCCCACATTGCTTGCAGACCTCTCCTGCAGTGCCCGCTGCACCCTCAGCAGTGTATTTCATCAGTCTGCCTGTTCTACTGCCTGCTCTGGCTCTGGTGAATCCTCTCACCCTCCCATGCTTCTGACTGTATCAAGTGCTTGTATAAATAAAATAAATAAATCTTTAAAAAAACTTTTAAAGGGTAAAAAAGAATAAGAGAAGAACCTTGCAAAAAAAAAAAAATTGCATCCAAGTCAATAATGAAAAATTCTTGCTGTGATTAATATGGGATTTGCATGTACAAATGAGCAAATCTGATCAATGTTAACTCTTGATAAACAAATGAATAGATGTTGTAAAACAATGGCTAATGTTGGAAAAGAGGAGGAAACAAAGTTTACTGCAGTAACACTGAAGGAAACCAATTAACACAGGAGGAGTATCTAAGAAGCTCAACAGCCAAATGGTGATCAATGCAAGGTAAATGGGATAGGGAGATATGAGGGAAATGAACTAGTGAGATTCTAACATAATCAGGAAGTTTCCTTAAGCTAGAGAGTTTGAAGGGACTCTTAAAGAAGTAGTTTGTAAGTAAATAGATTGTGAAAGCATCTGATCAGAACTAAGATAGACAGATAGGTAGATTGATAGATAGATAAGGTAAAGAGATAGCACATTTCAGAATCACTGTACTAGGTTCACCTACATACACATTTTGAAGATTCTGATGGTAAGAGAAGTACTGGAGGTCTCAATTGGGTAGCTGTCATTATGTCATGGAACCAGTAGATGGAGAGAAGGCCAGGATAACAGCTGTTCTTATAGGTTTTAAGGCAAGTTTCAGAGGATTTAGTTATGAGAACATGTCAATTTCATGACAAACCACTGCAATGACAAGGGGCGGGGAGGGAGGCCCCTCAAAGGCCTTTCTGATAAGAGACATTCTGGAAACAAAGTGATGTAGATGAGCTTTGATAGAGTATATAAAAGAAGAAATAAAGTCTCGAGCTCTTCTGACTGACAGCCAGCTAGTGGATGAATAGCCTCTCAGAAGAGGTTGTGATTTAATTAAAATCCATCAGAAAATGCATATGCATTTTATTAAGCATATTACTTCTTTCCAGGTGGAGGTTATAATTCACAGCATACAGAAAGGTTCTGCTTCGATCAGATTTGAAAGTATTTTTTAAATTTAATATATCTCGGGATGCTTGGTGCTAAGACCAGTGAATAAGTGAATAAATTAATGAATGAGCCGGTGGATGGGTGGATGAGATGTGGATGTAAGCAAGAGAAAACTAGAATTCATCATTTATTTCTAGTTTTGAAAATTATCTGACCAATTTCTTTACCACAGGTTATCTAAATACTGTGTTATGAAAAAAACTGTTCAGTATTTTGTTATGTGAGAAAGAAATCTAAAAGGATGAAGTCTCCAAATTTGAAAATGACATTGAACTCTTATAAGAAGTTAGCAGGGTTGATTACATACAGCTACAGCACTATGTGTGAGTTGCACATAGCTGTGGGAAGATGAGGTATAAGGAAATGAATGCAGAGAATGGATGGTTAGCAAAGAGCTATTATGTTAGACACAAGAAGATGATCTAGGGTTTATAACAGGCCATTGCTTAGAGTTGCTATGGGGCTGCTTCCAAAAATCAGCAAATTGCAGTTGGGAAAATATTAGGACAGAAAACACTAGAATATTTATCTACTAAGCGACTAGATATTAAGTCTGGTGTTCTTTGTTCCCTATCTCATCAACATGATTTAAGAAAGACATCAATAAAACATTAAGGAAAATTCAACAAATCACATCAGTTAACATTTATTAATTGCCTAAAATGTGCAAAGATTCTTGTTCAGCCATTGAGATAACAAAGCCTCCTCAGTGTCCTGGCAGGTTACAAAGATTTTTCATTGAGTAGTTAGTTGGACCCATTTGGCAACCATGAAAGCTGTTATCCTCAAAAAGCATTCATTACAAATGAGGAAAGTGAGAAAGAAGTATTTCTCTGGATTTCTGTCAAAGGTTAGATTTCAAACTTCTGAATTCTGATTTAGAACAGACGTTGTAATTAAAAAAAAAAAAAAACAGAAGCTACATGTGGAGACTTAGAAATTAAAACTGTAGAGCAGAGGTTAAAAATTATTTCTGAAAAGGGCCAGAGAACAGATATTCTAGGCTCTGGCAGGTAAATGATCTTTGTTGCAACTAGCCAACATGCTATAATGCAAAATGAATGTGTTCTGCAGGAATCCAATAAAACTTTATTTAAAAAAACAGGCAGTGGGAGTACATGGCCTTCAGGCCACAGTTTACTGACCTGCAGAGAACTACTAACATGCACACCGGGCTACTTAGCACACTGGGAATGTTTAAATTTCACTAGCTCCAGAAGAGACTTTTACTCAAATAGTAAATGCATAGTTGCTAAATTCTTGATGTGGAAATAAGAGACATTTATAACATACTTCCAAACTCTGTTCTCTTTTCAAAGGATGGATCTTATTGTGTTTAAATCCAGACACTTAGGGACTCTGAGGCAAAAGGCCTTTATTCCCCTTAAAATGTCCTTGATCGGCCTTTTGTCTTCAAAGAGCAAGCTTCCCAATTGCACATTAAATTACACAGCTGAGGTATAGACTTTCTTCTAAGCCCCCATCTTGGCTGTTGGCACAGATTCTGGTCATTTTATTTCTATTTGCCCTTTCAAAGCAACTCCTTCATTTATTTCCTAAGCAGATGTTGCAGTCAGGTACCTTATGCCTACTTCCCAAGATTGGCATATGGCTCCATCTAACCCACTGTCACCTTGTACGTGGCTGTGCCGTCGGTGAGGCCGGAGTAAGGCATGCTCTGGCAGGCAGCCGAGCCCCTTGGGATTCAGCACCAAGTTTCCTCTAATGTGGTAAAGCTCCCGGGGAGAAGAGGAAAGGCAGCCAAGACCAGTCTGCCAATTCCTGGATTTCACGGGTTTCCTCCTGGGAGTCTTTTTGTTTCCTTTCCTGCTTCTCACTTGAATTGACTGAACAAAAGGAGGAATGGCCATTGAATTGAGGGGCTCACATTTGCCTTCCAATTTTGTTCCATAGGAAACGGGCCACCCACAGTGTTGGCAAAAGGAAGGGCAGCCAGAAGGACCTCCGGCCCCCTGATCTTTGGATCCATCATGAAGAAATGGAGATGAAAAATATTGAGAAGCCATCAGGCACCGACCCTGCAGGAAGGGACTCCCCCATCCAAAGTTGTCAAGACCTCACACCAGTCAGTCACAGCCAGTCAGAAACCCAGATGGGGAGCAAAAGCACCTCTCATTCAGGTAAATTTCTTCTACTATGCACCCCACAGCCCATGCTGAACCCCACCAGGGGGTTCTCCACTCCCACTTCTGGGGAGATACCTTCCCACTAATTAGTGGGTCATTTATCAGTAATTAAGATGATGTGATACAAATTTGGTTGATGAACTACTTATAGTTTATTTTCATGACCCAACAACCTACCATTAATCATTATAATGGTTGTCATAACTTCTAAGAGGTAAGAGTTGAGGGGTAATGAAATGTGAAGCCTAAGTGAGTCAATTGCTTTTTGTTTAAATCTTGAACAAAAGTTTTTGGAGGCAATAAAATTTGAAACCCTATATATATATAGATAGATAGATATCTATCTATCTATATATATAGTTCCCTATGTCTATAGATAATTGAAAGTTGATTTGAAATTTGCCATCTATTTCTTGATTTAAAATAGTCACATCGCGGTGCTTGAAGTATGAAAACATCAACTATTCTCTTACTTTGGTCTTGCTTACTAGGTAGATCCACTGTCATTTCTGTGCAGTATGAGATGAATATGTAATGCAATCACTAGCCTAATCAGATGGGGCCTGTCTGTAGACTCTGCTGGTATACAAAGTGATCTGAAGGAAAAAATGCCTACATTTTAATGAATTGATACAGAAAATCCCACTTCTAGAGAATAGTTGGAAGAGACATCACTTTTTGTGGCCTCTTGTATCTTTGAGATGCATATTGGAAGTAGAATAATCAACCATTCTCATGAAAAACATCTCTTGGTCCACTCATGATGTGTTCGCAGAATGAGTTTTTATTCTTTCCAAGCTAAATTTAAAAATGCTTTAGTTGTTTGGATGTGTAAGTGGTTAACTAGACTTCCTTGGTTTAGAATTGTGCAAACAAGGACTTCAGTTACTGATTTTAAATCACAAGTTGCTGACTATGCCTTTTCTAAACCTTAAATATCTAATGTTTCTGTATATAAACTGCATCAAGTTCTATTGAATACAGCAATCTGAAATATAAATTAAAGGTTCTCCCTCCCTTACAGGTCACTATCTTTTGACTCTAAGAGCTAGAGTTACAATTTGTTCTTTAACTCTTCCAACACCATCTATGGAAATAGAGTGGATGAGGTGGGACAGACGGAGGGAGCAAGGTCTGTTTCAGAAACTCCTTTACCTCTTCACTTTTACCTATTTGTTCTTCCTGGCTGTGTGGGAGGACAGGTAGGGAGATGAGAAATGAGGAGGAAGGGAGAAAGGACAGTTTGCAGTTCACTGTTTTATTGAACACAAGGCCTGTCTTCATATGGTGTTCGAATTCTGGATCTCTGATGAAAGACATTCCTTGTGAAGCCCTGTGGGGTCACTTCACTGGCCATTTCACATTAGGGCTTAACCTTCTTCCATCTGAATAGCTCTACCTGCTAAGTTTGCTAGCTCTCTGGTGGGTCAACTATACTCAAGTGAATTCCAGCAAGAGAACTGCATCCTCACCAACTTTCCAAGCACCCACTGCATCCAGAGGAGTTTCTCTGTCTTTGTCAAATGGTGATAGAGCTTGTCCTCCACTGCTCACCCTCTCTCAACCTTATTGTCTTCAACTGTTGCCCCTTTGCAACAGGAACACGATGAGGGACACAACAGTCATGGAGCAGGTTTGCAAGACAGGACTCTGCTACTTGAGTGGAAGCTCTTATACATTTATTGAAAGCACACAGGCTAGTAGTAGCTGATCATGCAACAGTGGTATGAGGAATAAAGTCCAGATGGTGGGATTGGAATGGGGGACAGAGTTTTAAAAGGGACAGAGAAGGGGACCTTGTGACCATACGTCAAGAAACATTTGCATCAGCAAAGCATGTTATCACAGGCAGAGTTATCCCAAGACCACCATGGAGATAGTCACATAATCAGGCTTATGCATCCCTAGGCCTGCCTTGTGAAATGGCTATACTCCATAGGTAGTCAAGGAATGCTCTGCTGTGATTTGTAGATAGCAAAAAGGTCACAGTTGCCCATGATTGGTCAGCTAGCTCGTTGCCAGCTCATAGGAACCCACATTCAATGACCTCTTCCTCTGCTTAAATAGACTCAGAGTAGACCAGCAAGTCTTCTGCCTGGACATATTTCTCTCTTTTTTTTAAAAAATAGATATATTTATTTATACAAGAGTGGGCGTATAGGCCAGAGGCATGGGAGGGTGAGAGGATTCACCAGAGACAGAGCTGGGAGCAGAACAGGCAGATGGACCGAAAGCACTACAGAGGGGAGCAGTGGGTGAGACAGGAAAGGTCTGCCATGCCATGTGGGTATCTCCCTGGCCAGCCGGGAATCAAACCCATGCTGTAGAGGCTGTGGACAGCTTCACAGCACTGTGCTCAACCTGCTGTGCCACCAGAGAGACCCCTGCCTGGACAGATTTCTTCCTAAAGAATGAATGAAAGGTAGATCTCTTTGGCAGGAACCTCTGTACTTTTGGGTGTTTATTCTTGTGGCTTTGTTCCTTACTGAACATGACAAAAAGAGAGCATCTCTGCCTCCCACTGGAGAGGCTAGAATTGCCTCGCAGCCCTCAGAAGGTTTTGCCAATGATTTCTAGTACTACTCCTTCTTGCTTTTTCCTTTAGCCTTTATACACTGCAATGACTTTAAGTGCAATGTCACTTAATGAGTCCTGAGAGAAGTTTGATTCCAAATGATAGTTGTTTTCTTTAGAATGGAAGGATGCTTGTGCATATTTGTCTGTAATTTGAGGACCTACTTGTCAATTCTATGATAATAGGGAAAGCAGCCCTCCTGCTAGTTATACTTTTCATTCCATTAAGTGCTCTGTGTGATCTGTTTAAAGAACAAACTCTGTCAGTGAACAGTATTCTTTCAAGTGCTCCAGTCTTCCAGGAGACCTTTAAAATATTTTTAGAATCAAGATGGACATTCTTTATTTGTGCATAATTTTAGGGCACATTCAGAAGGCTTGTTCACCTCTTCTTTCCTGTGCATTTTCTTAAATACTCACCTTTCCATAGAGATATTGTAGCAGCAGTTTGAGTAATAGCTTTACTGGAAATTATTTTTTTTTCACTTACTAAAAACTTGAAGTTTATTGTGTTCTCTGTCTTTTAGTTGTGCCAAAGGAATATGATTTGCATAGATTTATTGTCTTTTCTGGTTCTGTATAGTGTGGAGTGTATGAAGACAGATTCCGATTTAGGCAGCCACTGATACCTTAGCTACATAGATGTTTTTCTCAGCATTATTTTCAATTTAAAATTTTATTAGCTACTACTTTATTTGAAAAAAAGAATACAAGTATGGGATTTTATTATTATTTTAAAGATTTATTTCTTTATGCATACAAGAGCTGGGGTGTAGGCCAGAGGTGCGGGGAAGGGGCCGCGTGAGAGGATTCACCAGAGACAGAGCAGGGAGCAGAACAGGCAGATCTACTGAACTACACTGCTAAGGGGAGCAGCGGGCGAGTCAGGAGAGGTCTGCTGTGTCATGTGGGTCAGCTCCCTGGCCAGCCAGAGGATCAAACTAGTGCTGCAGTGGCTGGTGTTAGCTTGATAGCACTCATTAACCCCTGCACCATCAGGGAGGCCCTGGTATGTGAATTTAAAAACCAAGAAAATTGTACTTAAAAATGTTTTCCTTTTCCTTATCCCAAAATGCCTTTATTTCTTTTGCAAAAGGAAAGCAATGTCAAAAGACTTGCATGTAACTTTTCTATGCAGACATATATAATACATTTACATTACACACATGTAGGTGTATGCACATGGACACACATAGATGTCTATATATAAACTTTGCTTTTATATATATTTTTCAAAAATGGGTACAAGTCATAAACACTATTTAGAACTTCAGCTTTGTTTCTTTTAACATGTATTTTTATTAACTTCAAATCTGTTTTTATCATTCTTTCCTATTACTATTAATGGCACACATGTTGGTGTGGCATTTTATGAGGTCATAATAAATTTATTCAAATATGCCTAGAGTTGGCTGAAGAATGTAAGTTTTTTTCTTATGTTTTTATAAGATTTAATGTCTTTGTATCTTAAGTATTAGTTACACATATTGTGATAAATTCAGTTGAATGTCTAGAGCCATTAAATTATATTACTGACATTTATTGACAGAGAAAGATGTTCATATTATTTTCTTGAGAAATTTTACAAAAGAGTATGTATGGTGTAATGCCATCTTGGAAAAACATTTTATTCTCACTTCCACATGTATATACTTAAGCAAAAAAATTATGAACAATGAAAAAATAACAGCTTTCTCTTGGAATTAAAGTTATGCATTTTGTTCATGTTTATATAATGAGAGTACATTGAATGGACTACAAGAAAATGAATATTATTATTTAAACCATCAATAAAATGAAAAAGAGCACTGGAGTGCCTGAGTAGAGAGGATAGAAAGTGTTGCAGGATTGAAGAAGGTGTGTCTCTCAGAAGTGTGGTTTTGCCTTTAGGTCAAGACACTGAAGAGGCAGGGAGCTCCATGTCCACCCTGGAGAGGTCACTGGCCGCACGCCGAGCCACCCGGGCCAAGCTCATGATTCCTATGGAGGCTCAGTCCAGCAATCCTGGTGAGTCACGTTTGGTACCACGATATAGTCAAATGAAGGGGTTTCTGACCATCTTTCTATCCAATTATCAATAGCTGATGGGAGTGTTCTCTGAATTTTTTGGGCCAGTGGGCATAATGAAGAATGACAAACTGCATCATTATCATTAGAAGCCAGAGTTTTTACTAATATTGTTATTGTTGCACACAAGCAAATGGTCTGCCTATTGTCAAACAGATGGCCAAAATTTTAGGAAGTTATTTATAAAAAATATGGGTTGTTATAAAAAAGCTGAAGTTGCTGTCATTACTGTTCATCTCATGCTGATGATTACTTTCATAGCTTTTTAAAGTTTTTTATAGGTCTGATTTTCAGGCTTAGCTATTCTAGCACCCTTGAAGCAAGTGTTAACATGCTCACTCGCTGCCCACTTCTTGCTGAAGTCTGCTGTCATGCTCCCATAGTCTAGGAAGATATTAGCATCTAGGAATCACTTTCTTTCCAATTACCTCTATGATCAATCTTGGTGATTTTAATATCAATGCAGATAATCCACTGGATGTCCTGGACATCAGCTCCCTTGTGATACCTGTGGTGTCATATTGTCTCCTTCCCACCTCAACTCATCAACTCCATATCACACTAAACCAATAATTGCACCCCCAGAAAATGTCAGTTCCTCTCATTCTTCCTTCGATCCCCTTATTACATCCCTGCTCACTTATTTTATTGCCCACTGGGCAACAATTCTTCAATCCTGCTAGGACCGCTAATCCATCAACTCTGCCACCTTACCATGTCACCTATCTGCTTCATGGTTTCACTTCCCTCCAAACTCAATTTAAAATTCATAGTCATTTATTATATCTTGCAAATTCCTGAGAGCTCCTTCCCAGTTATACTTACCTGAAAAAAATCCAACCATGGTTCAATTAGTTATTCTACCAAATCTTACCAGCAGACTTTGTGTGGAGGAAAGCACATAACCCCATATTGGGTATTTATGAACTCAATCTAAGGTGAAATATCATGTGTTAGGAAATGTCAAGACATTTCTCTAGTCAGTCATTGTCTCACTTCTATAAGATGAATATTTTACATCTGTTCTTTTCAGACTCCCAAAATTCTCTCCTTTCCTCATCGTTAGCTAATAATGTTGCTTATGCGACCAAGAAAAAAAGAAACATTCAGAAATGGTACCCTATCCTCCCATCCTTCAACCTACCTTTATCCTTATCCTTCTATCTGGTTTTGCTCCATCTAAAGTCAGCTCTTCTTCTTGCCTCTTGTAAGGGACTCCTTACAAGAGAAAAGGGTTGGAGGCAGTCCAATGCACAATGTCTCTCTATGTAGCAAAAGGAATGAAAGAACAGAACAGTCTAATTAACCATATCCTCAACACCCAGAACACAGTCCACACATGGTAGACACTTTGTGGCAACAGTGTGGTCAAATGAGTGGATTAATGTTTCCTTCCACTTACTCTAAGTCATGTATCCTCTATGCTCCAATACATCTCTCAATTTTACTATAATAAGTGCAGAAATGTACATGGAATTGACAATGACTGCCAACTCTTCAGCTCATAGATTAGGTACTATTATATGCTTGTTTTAATGACAAGAGAACTGAGGCCTGGGGACTGAGAAACTCTAAGTACCTTGCAGTCACACAGCCAGTGAGTGGCAGAGCTAAAATTTGGACTCAGAAGACCTGACTTCAAAGTTCTGCTCTCTTAATCATTATTTCCCCACCTCTATTACTCTGTGAAACTACTGTCCTTTTTCTTTCATTCCTTTTGCTACATAGGGAGATATTGTACATTGGACAACTCTTTTTCTCTGCCCCTTTTCTCTTGTTACTGTTCTATCTGTGCCAATCTTCTACAGCTTTCTTCTCAAAAATCCTTGTGCTTCAGAACCTTTGTGAGCCTTTCTGTCCCATATGTAACTTCCTCCTCTAATAAGTTCCTATATCCCATTGATTTTTCTCTCACAATATATTTTGAATCTCTGGCTACCATTCCATTCCCAAGAGTCATTGTTAGTTATTTCTTTATGACCTCACACCTGAACTGTCAAAACAGCTTCATAATTAGTCGTCCTTTCTCTGGCATCTTCCACTCTCTTGTATCCTGCTTGCCAAATTTCTTCCTAAAACAAGTTAGACATGGCAGTCTACTCCATAAATTTCTGCAATGGCTCCCCATTGTCTGCCATGAAAAAACAACTACCAACTCCTCTGCATATCACATCTGAGACAACATTTCTTGTTTCCTGAGCTTTGCCTTATTTCCTGGAATATGAATGTGTGTGTGGGAGGGGGAGAGGGTAATGTATGTATGTGTGTATACACACCTGATAGATTCTTGCCAAGATGAACTAATTTCCAGTCCATAAATCAATTTTGTCCTTTATTTGTACTTCCTTTGAACACAATTTTCCTTTCAGACAGATGTCTCTACTTAACAAATTTGTATGCACCCTTCAAAGACAAGAGCCAATATCGATGTTCTCATATTTTTTTTTCTTTTCTGATTATCCAGAAATGATGACTCTCTTTCTCAAATTTGAGTAACATATTTTTATGCCACTTTGTGTCATTAATTACACAGACTATTGCCTCATATGCTAAGGTATTCAAGTCCAAATCTCCCCTCCTCTAACAGGTTGTGAATTACTCCATGATAGGGCAGGAATGTATCTAATTCATCTTCATATTCACACATTGTATAGCTCCATACCTAGCACAATATCTGTGCTTGCTAAATATATGTCAGATGTCTGAATGAATAAGTAATATATTGTAAGAATTCCTTGTTTGTAATACATCAGTGTTTTAGAGCTCTTTATCTGTCAATTATAGATAAAATATCTTCTAATAAAATTTCCTGATGTATTAAGGGCAATTAAACTTGTTTTCATTAAACAGGAAAGAAAATTAGCTTAGAAAGAGAAATTAAAGCTATCAAGTATTGAGAGTTTCTGAATATTATTTACTTGCTAAATATCTTGCTAATCGTTATTGTATTTAATTCTCATAGTATTTCATATGGTGATATTATCCTGATTTCATAGATGGGAAGCAAGGACTCAGAGAGCTTAAGAAACTTATTCTGGGACATATCTGGACAAACTCTATACCTCGATGGCATACTGCTTTTTTAATGATAAAGATGACTTGTATGTCTTGTATTACTTTTATCCTTTAAAATATTTTTTTGATTGTCGTCTCTCCAATGTGCAACTTGTGTTTGTTCTATCCACTGCACTGTGCTGATTCAAGTCTCTTTGAGCTATGATAAATAAGAACCTTTTACATCCAGTGTCTTATTCTACATGATTTGGGACTCTAAAATAACCATAAACTTTTTAAAAAAATTATCATATAATGCACATATGCCATTTAAAATAGTTAATAGTATTTTTTTTTAATTTTGAGGATATTCTGACTTTGCAACCCATTCTTTTTTAAAAAGATTTATTTAGTTATGCATACAAGAACTGGGGTACAGGCCAGAGGTGTAGGGGGTGAAAGGATTCACCAGAGACAGTGTGGAATAGAACAGGCAGGCTAACTAAAATACACTGCTGCGGGGAGCTGCGGGCGAGAGAGGAGAGGTCTGCTGCACCATGTGGGTAGCTCCCTAGCAGGCTAGGGATGGAACTCATGCTGCAGAGGCTGCAGATAACTTCATAGTGCTGTGCTTAACCCCTTGTGCCACCAGGGAGGCCCTAGCAGCCCATTCTTAAACATATTTCTCTCTTGGGTGGAAATGCATAGTGTGCTCACCAAAAGACATACACAAGAATGCGTGAGGAAGTACTAATCATGGTATCACAACTTCATTATATTGTGATATAGTCAGGCAATGAAATACTATACAGCAGTGAAAATGAACAAACAAAAATGACAAAAACAATATGAAGAATCTCACAGACCTAATGTTCTAAGACAGAAACCTAGTACATCCACATTATTCAATTTATGATTAGCTAGGAAGCAGGCAAAATAATCTATGAGGCTAGAATTCAAAAGAGTAGTTACTCCTAAGGGGAGGTTATTAGTGACCAGAAGTAACAATGGGGACAACTGCCATAATGTTCTATTTCATGCCATAGATGACGGCAAAAAGGCATTTCACTTTGGAAAAAAAACCCACTGAGCACTATTTAACGATATTCCAACTTTTAAAATGTATTTTATGCTTTAATAAAATTTCAATAGACATAGATAATTGAATATATATTTTTAAATAGTTAGATTTCATTCTTTTCTCTCTTCAATCTCTGTACTGACAAAGCTATATCTAACAAAAGGAGATGATTTTGACATATAATCAAAGTTGATTTAAAAAGAAATTCTTCAGCTATCTGATAATCTCTGCAACTGACATAACTGATGAGAACTTGAAGTAGGCCCAAAAAATTATAGATTTCTGTCTTGACAAAGATCTGACTTCATTGAGAATAGTATATGCAAACACTGATGACCCCAATGCAATTATTTGGACTAACTAGAGTATTCAAGTCTTTTTTTTTTTTTTTAAGATTTATTTATTTATTTATTTATTTATTTATTTATTTGTTTATTTGTACAAGCACTGGGTACAGTCAGAAGCGCGGGAGGGTGAGAGAATTCACCAGAGTCAGAGCGGGGAGCAGAGCAGGCAGAAGGACCGAAGTACACTGCTGAGGGGAGCAGCGGGCGGCAGGAGAGGTCTGCGCGCCATGTGGGACCCTCCTCTGGAGGCTGGGGAGCAGCCGGGGATCGAACCGGCGCTGCAGAGGCTGCAGGCAGCTTCGCAACCCGGCGCTCAACCGCTGCGCCACTGGGGAGGCCCTAGAGTATTCAAGTCTTGTATCGAGTTTGCATAACTCAGATCAGAGCATTGTTCCAATTTCTAGGCACACGTATAAAGATACCTGCAGTTCCACTTAGGAATCTTTGTTTTTGTAAGATCATTTCCCCCTCTTTGACATTTCTCGCCATGCTCTATAAAATTACTTAGGCAATAAAGT